CCCAGCTAGGTAACATCATCAGGGCTAGTACTATATTTGAGCAAACTCTTTTTTTGCAACGGCCTTGCTTTCTTCTCCCAGGTTTACAGCCTTGAGGCTTTGCCTCTGAGAGGCAGGCTTCTTCCCATCAACATTAGTTTCACTTTCCCCTCCCATCCAGCTCCCTCTCCCCTCCCATTTCCATATTTCATGGCAGATTGACAGCTAGCGAAGGCGGACCAGTGGCCAAGGCAGAGCTAGCTCTCCAGCTCATCCTGATCCAAGATCTCCCCCCCTCTCTCCCTCCCTCCCTCCCTCTCCTTCCCTGCAGGAGGCCATCCAGTTGGACGGTGAGATTCTCTTCTCTCTGCTGCAGAGAGTCTCCCCGCTGGCATACAAGCATCTCAGCAAGCAGAAGATCGACCCCATCTTGTACATGACGGAGTGGTTTATGTGCGCCTTCTCCAGGACCCTGCCCTGGAGTTCTGTGCTGAGGGTCTGGGATATGTTCTTTTGTGAAGGTACTGCGGGTGCTGCTTCTGGTCTTTGTGGAGGGAGCGGGGGGGGGGGGGGAAGGCACGCCGGCTGTCAGCTCATAAAATATTTCTACGGTCTTTATAGAGTTGGCAACAGAAAGGGGGAGGCGGAAAGGGGTTTGGAAAGATCAGTGCGGCAGCTTGGAAACCAAAAGTGCATTCCACAAATGTTTCCAAAGATAGCAACGAGGTGACTGAAGTTTCTGCCACTGGAGAACGTGATTGATGATTCTTGGCTATGGAGGTGTCCCATTGGAGGATATGAATTACGATACACCCAGGGGGATGGGGGAAAACCAAGGGTCAAGGTGACAATGAATGAGAGTCGGCTACACCCAGGCAGTGCTGGCATGTTTGACTCCCAATAAATCTTCTTTAAGTTTTGGAAGTTTGGCTCGAGACTCATGATTTCTTCCAATCCATCCTCCCCTCCCTGAGCTCTTTTTGCTCTCCTAGGTGCCTGGATAGATTCCAGCGGGTTTGTGGCCCTGCCCTTCTTTGTGGCAGTGCTGGGTTTCTCTGTCTCTGCCCTGTGGCTTTTCCCTCTGGTCCTGCAGACGCCACAATCCCCGGGGAACGGCAAATGTAGGTCAATTGTTAAGTCAGCGACACGGTTGTTAACTGAGACTGGCTTCCCCACTGACACCACTTGTCAGAAGGTCGCAAAAGGGGATGGCGTGACCCCTGGGACACTGTGACCGTCGTAAATACGAGTCAGTTCTGATCCCATGTCCCTGGGGATGCTACAACAGTCGTAAGTGTGTGGTGGTGGGGGAAATGGCCCTACGTCCCTTTTTTCCAGCGTTGTTGTAACTTTGGTCACTCAATGAACATGTTGTAGGTAGAGGACTAGCTGCAGAGGGATTGGATTTAAACATTACCTCCCGATTCTTCTCCCAGGCGTCAAGATCATCTTTCGCGTGGGCCTGGTCCTCCTGAAGTACACCCTGGGTTCCTCGGAGAAGCTGAGATCCTGCCAAGGGCAATACGAGACGATGGAACAGCTGAGGACCCTGAGCCCCAAAATCATGCAAGAGACTTTCCTTGTGCAAGAGGTAAAACCAGTTCAGCTGGATGCCACTCTCCTACTCTCCTGTAGGCAGACGTCAGGCGCAAACGGCCAGGGTAGGGTATGCCCTCTGTTTCCCCGAAAATACGACCTACCCTATAAGTAAGTCCTAGCTTGATTTTTACACGTGCCCCCAATGTAAGCCCTACCCCCCCCCCAAAATAAGCCCTAATTAAGATCCCACCCACTCAAGTGCACAAGTAAAAATTAAGCTAGGGTGGGAGGGTGGAGCTGCCCTGCTATACTTACCTTTGGACAGTTGTAGCCAGGCCTCGCACACCCCGACCCCTGCCTTGCCGGCCCATTTCTTCTGCAAGGGTGGCAAAGCTCTGTTGTCGGCTGCAGAGTTGCCTTCAGGAAAGCCTTGCCAGCCACAGAAGAAGAAGTTCCTGAAGGCCTCTGACAGCGAAAAGGAGACCGGCGGCCACGCACACAAGCGAGGTTAGTCGGTGGATGACGTCCCTCGAAAATAAGACCTGGTGCCTTTTTTGGGTGACAAAAATAAAATAAAAGACGGTCTTATTTTGGGGGAAACGTGGTAGGTAGGTAGATGGATGGATGGATAGATGGACGGATGGACAGACAGACAGATATAGAACTAAATGTAGATGATGGAAAGAGAGGGATAGAGATAGATAGATGGTAGGTAGGTAGATGATAGATAGGTAGGTAGATAAGACAATATGTAGGTAGGTAGGTAGGTAGATAAGATGATAGATAAGATGATAGATAAGACAGTAGGTAGGAGGTAGATAAGATGATAAGATGATAGGTAGATAAGACAGTAGGTAGGTAGGTAGGTAGGTAGGTAGATAAGATGATAGATAGATAGATAGATTGGATAGATTGGATAGATGGATAGATGGATAGATAGATGGATAGATTAGCCTATAGACCATATCAATGTACAGGTTCAAACACGTATTACCAATAAAATTCTGAACAAACAATTTAAAATGAGAATGGGGTAAAATACAGTAGTTTTAAGATAAAATACAATAATTTAATACATTGGGGGTTGATTTATTCTCCAAACTTCTCCAAACAAGAGAGAAGCAACTTGGAATTAAGGAGGAATTTTCTTGACAGTGAGAACAATTAACCAGTGGAACAACTTGCCTCCAGAAGTTGTGGATGTTCCCAACACTGGAGGTTTTTAAGAAGAGACTGGACAGTCACTTTTCTGAAATGGTATAGGATCTCCTGCTTCAGCAGGGGGTTGGACTAGAAGACCTCCAAGGTCCCTTCCAGCTTTAGGATTCTATGATTCTACACCCTTAGAAGAATAGGGTATTGGACCCATTTTGGGAGACGGAAGGAAGCTTGGGTTGGATGGATTATTTATATGTTGGCATCAGTGCTTCTGGTGTCTGTCCAGGTTTGGGGAAACCCTGGGATGCCCATCTGTGCTTTTGTTCCTCCTAGGTCATAGAGTTGCCAGTGACAGAGCGCCACATTGAGCGGGAACACCTGATCCAGTTGAAGAAGTGGAAGGAGACCCACGGAGAGCTGCAATGCAAGTCCCCTCCCCGCTTCCACGGCGCCAAGGCTATCAGGGACTCTGAGCCGTATGCCCACAGAGCCTTGGAGCCCTCTCCTTCCATCATCCTGCCCCCCGGTGCCGCCCTCCTCCCCAAGGGCCGCAAGAGCAAGTCGCGGAAGGACACCCCCAAAGGTCCCGTGAGCGTGGGCGACCAAGCCAACGGCCCCGTCCCCGAAGAAAACGGATCTTTGCTGGAGCCCGACTCCTCCCTTTTCCATCAGTCCAAGGAGAGCCTTAGTTCCCGGGAGAGCGAGGACACCTACCTGTAGGGGTGGGGAATTGCACTTTCCAGATCACCCACCCACCCACCCACCCCTTTTTCTCCCAGGCCACCCAAACCAGACTGGGAGGCGCCCTTCATAGGAAAAACGGCAGCTGGGTTTTGTAAGGAGGGGAGGAAGATTTGTCAGAGGGCAAGTGGGTAAGTATTAGGCCTTCCGGTGGCCGAAGGGAAGGAATCCCGTATGTCTTCGGCAGCCCTAGCTGGAAAGGGCTAGCGCCTCTCCTGCCCCCTGCTCTGGTGGTGGTGGTGGTGGTGGTAGGGAGACATTCTTGAGGCGGAGAAGCACGGAGGTGTCCCCCCCCCCCTTGCTTTGGGGGAAAAAGTGAGATTGGCCGGAATCATTCAGGTATAGAAACACAGGAAGGAACTGTAGCTGCCTATAGATCCCTCAGTTACAGGTGTGGGTTGGCTCGCGTTTTCAGATAGGAATAAATGGAGGCCGTCCCCTTAACTCAGACCCTGCCCTCCTCTCGCTCGGTGGGCCGAAGGGCAAGAAGCTTCTTGATTTTCTATCCCAGGAGGGGCTGTGTCCCAACTTCCCGCGCGTGCAATTGCCTACGCCCTCGAGTCGTACATTCCACCCTTGATCCACCCTTGATCCGAGAAGCGGCCAGTCTTCTCTCTTGGATACTACTACCTCTTTCTCTCTCTTTCTCTTTCTCTCTCTCTCTCTCTCTCTCTCTCTCTCTCCCTCTCTCCCTCTCTCCCCCTCTCCCCCTC